TCTATCTGCAGCCTTAAGCTGTTTACCTATCATCATCATCAGCCAATTAATGTCCACAATGCTTTGGCAGAGGCCTACCCTATGGATGGAAAAGGGAGATTTGGCCATGACTCACCACACGGGCCCAGTGCGGATTGGTAGGTGCTAACGACTGCAGCACCTACCATGCAGCCGGGACCAACGGCTTAACGTGCTTTCCGAAGCACGGACGTAAAGCTCGAGATAGAATATTTTTGGTCACCCATCCAATGACCGCCCACTGCGAAAGTTGCTTAACTTCAACGATCGCAGCCGAATGCGCTAGCCACCTGCGCCATCGTATTCCTCGAATTTACCTATGGGTATGGCGATAAAAGACGTGTCGGTATCGCGCGTTATTAGCATCGATATTGCTTTATGTTTGTGTAAACAATTTCTAATCTGATAATGTTTTGTGATTGTAAACTAAGGTGAGTGGAAAGATGCACCTGCGTTAGGGTGCGTTTTCATAGAAGCGGAATTAATAAATAAATGAAATAACATTTCCAACACTCACACCAATTGAGGCCATGAGAACTATAGTGGCCTTACTATTTTTTTTACAATATTGAGTTAATGATTTTTAGTTATGTTTTTATTTTTTTTAAGCATTTTACTACTACTCGTAGATGTTTAAATCTAAAGAAAAGTTTTACTAGAAAAAAATCCACGCGGACCGGGCAGCGGACGGGACTCGAACCCGCACCCTTCGCAATCCGGGCGAATGCACTGACTAATTATGCTACCACGGCCCTGATGGCCGCATCGAAATTTTCCTAGCCTTAAGCTGCAAGGCAGCGCCATCTCTTCGCATTGTAGGTAACCAACAATGTCAAATGAATACTTTTTCAAGTATTAAACATTTGAAAGAAGTAATAGCAATTATAGTTATGTTTTAATTTTTTTAAGCATTTAACTACTAGATTTTTAAATCTAAAAAGAAAAGTTTAATAGAAAAAAAAATTATGATTTTTTTCCAGTTCAAATTTATCATTTTGATAGAACCAGAGTGGTCTAAGTGTGGTACAACGAATATTCACTAGATGGCAGTATAATCACTGTTACTGTTTTTAGTCTATGATCTAAATTTGAGGTGCCATTCTGGCCTAAGCAGTGAGTCCCGGGAAAGGACATTGCATAATTTTATCCCAGAAATCATCTTTTAAGGGGATGAAAGTTTGAACGGAAAACCAATTTTTCCACGCCGATGATCGGAACATTCACTAGTTTTAAAACGTATGATTCTACGAAGCGGAGCGGAGATGAGATGCGTATTTTGAGCAATATTCATATTCATTTATTGCATTCTTGCTGTTTACATGCTGTTTAAAAATATATATATATATCATTCCAAACAACCCTAACTGGGTTCTTGTTTGGAATAATAAATAAATAGTTCCAACACTCACACCGATTAGCCTAGCCCCAAAGTAAGAACTGTGAGGCTTGTGTTATGGGATACTAGGGTAACGGATTGAATACATATACAGTACATTTATAAGTATAATCTAATATATAAAATTCTCGTGTCACGGTGTGCGTAATTGAACTCCGACTCCGAAACGGCTCGACCGATTTTCGTGAAATTTTATTTGCATATTCAGTAGGTCTAAGAATCGGACAGCATCTATTTTTCATCCCCCTAAATGTTAAGGGTGGTCCACCCAAAATTTTTTTTGGACAACAATTATTTTTACCGTTCACAAGCCTTAATTTTCACCCTTCTACCACCAACCCCTATTTTTTTTTGACGGTACGTAGTTCGCGGGGACAGCTAGTATTTATATACAAATGTATATTAAACATCCATAAATGGAGTACAAATGCTCGTATTCATCACACAAACATCTGCCCCCACCGGTATTCGAACCCGGGACCTCTTGAGTCGGCGACACCATGAAACCCGGCGTACAAACCACTCGGCCACTGAGGTCGTCAATGCTTACAAACTAAATAGGTAGATCTACAGTCATAATTATAAAACGTTCCAATATAACCAATCTTCAATCTTGTATAACATATTGTAAAAATTAATTCAATTGTCCAAAAAATTATGCAAATGTCAAAATTTAAAACTTCACTAAAATGTTCATTACTTGTATAAAATGACTTACATAGTAAAAAAATCTTTAGTGCAGGTTCAAACTTTTTACCCTGGCGGGTCTTTAAGTGTCTCCGCACACGGGCCACACGCCACAGCCACAAACGCCGCCACGAGAAGCTAGAAGCGGCAACTAAAGTGGGTGAAGCGCGCGACAGCGGCCGACTAAGGTAAGGGATTCCCCACCCCTCTCGGTGGAATCGCGCGAGTGACGTGTGGCGGCGTTTTGTATCGGCGCATTAAGTGGCCGGTGCGGGCCACAAGAAGCGTGCAACGACGATTTGTAGCGTGTTGCGGCCACGGGCGTACCGTGTGTGGCGAGTCCACATAAAATGTATGAAAACTACAAGAAATATGCCGGTGGCGGCATTATTGGTTGTGGTCGGTGACCCGTGTGCGGCGACACTAAGGAATGATGGGCTTTAGGCAGATGATTGATCAATCATATATATCATTGATCAATTTCTTCAAGTCTCTTGCTCCGCTCCGCTCCGTGCCTCTGTGGAAACGCAGCCTTAGTTTTATCACCATGTCGATTTTAACGATGATAAGGTGCGAATGAGTGTGCATGTAGTATCGGAAATTTGATTCGTAATCCACAAACAGCCTAATTTGTTACGAAAATTTCAATACAGTGAGGTTGAATTTCTATTTTAATGTAAGTATCCTTGGAAACAAAAATTTGATAATAGGGACGATGACGGGGCGAATGAAACTAAATTCTATCAAGTCCATCAGTTATGTAAAGAAAAGTTTTACTAGAAAAAAAAAGCCACGCGGACCAGGCAGCGGAGAAATTTTCCTAGCCTTAAGCTACAAAGCAGCTCCATCTCTTCGCATTCAATTCAATTCATTTATTTCAGCCATTTAACCATATAAACCACATAAAAAAAAACAAGAATAATAATAATAAAAACATACAAATTACAATCAAATTACATAAAAATTAGATATGACAACAACAAAATAATTAAAATAAATACAAAATTACAATGTCAACATAAATAATTACAAAATTAACATTAAAATGCTTGCATCTTTGATGCCACAAAAACTTTATTGAACAAACTTGAGCGCCTGCAGAACCTAGCTATCCGCTTTATCTTTGGTCTACGGAAGTATGATCATGTTTCCAAATTTCGTAAAGAACTCAAGTGGCTTCCTATACGTCTGCCCAGGAATTTGAGAATCCTTTGCCTTCTTTTCAACATCCTCTATAATCCCTCGTATCCATCCTATCTTCGGGAGCGGTTTTCCTTTGTCCACTCTCCTACAGATAGGGTTGCAACGATATATCGGAATATCGATAATATCGAGACCAAAATATCGATATTTAAAATTAACTGATATCGATAATATCGATATCGGAAATTCTATATATTTCGTAGACTAAATTTGAACACAATAATATCAATTAATTTACCTGCTATGACTATCTAAATTGAATAATATCGAAATAACTATTGCTTTGAAATCGCAAGAGCTTATAGATGTATCAAAAAAATCTTGAACCCCAAGAAATATACTAAACTGGTGTGGATTCTGGCATGATTCTCTAAACCTAAAATTAAATTTGACAACAGTGTATCCTTGTCATTCTCTATACAGAATGAAAAGGAGAGACTGATGTTAAATGTAGTTTTAAGTTTAGATAATCATGCCAGAATCGACACCAACGTATATAGGTATAATCGTATACCTAATGGTAACTCATGCACTTAAATAAAATCCTTGCCTCTCTTTCTAGATAATTGTCAACTACTGATTAATTGAAATTTAATATCATTGAAATATAACACAAAATAAAATTAAGAATCTTATACAAATCGTAATTTTTTTAAGCTCGCCAAGTCAAGATAGTAAGACAGGTATAGCTTTGGGCTTTATCTAATCTGATTATGGCTGCGTGCAAACATTTTAAACAAAATAAATATCTTTGATTCGAAATTGCTTTTGATTTGATACTTCTTACAGCGCTATACATCGGATTGGATATCGATATTTACCTGCCCACATTATAAATATCGATATTTCGGAAACCTTTGCTTGCTTTTGCAAACTTAATACAAAGCAAAAAAAAGAAAAGAATATCGATATATCGATAATATCGAGTTAAAATGGTCGATATATCGGATATCGATATTTTCCTGACTTCGATATAAATATCGATATTTCAAAAGACTGCATCCCTACCTACAGATCATTGTAGATCCCATCGCAAATCCCTCCTAAAATGACCCACCCATAACACTGGCTTCGCATCCTATTCATTCACAGTACATGCTGTCCGCCTGTGGAATTCGCTGCCAGCAGGAATTAGAGATTCCAGTTCTGTCTCGGTGTTTAAAAAGCGTCTAAAAGAACATTATTTATCTTCACGCCTTAATCATGCCCTTACTTTTCGTCCATAATAAATGTATATATATATATATATATATATATTTATATATGTATTTATGTATATATCTATTATTATAAGTATTAGTACCTATGTATAATTGTGTATGTCCCCTATTCTTAAGTATTTAACGTATATACGTTAAGCAGACGGGACTCAAACCCGCACCTTCCGCTAGCCGGGCGGATGTACTGACCATTATGCTACCGCTCTCCTAATAGCCGTGTAAAAAAAGTTCTAGTTCATACTTATTAGGCCGCAAGGCAGCGCCCATATAGCCCACAATGTCAAACGAATACCTTTACAAGTAATAAACATTTGAAAGAAGAAATAGCAATTGTAGTTATAAATTAATTTTTTAAACAGACAATGAAGAAATAAAAATTTTATTGTAGTTATATTTTTATTTCTTTACATTTAAACATCTAGCAGTTAAATGCTAAAAAATAAAAATACAAATTAATATTTTTTTTCTTGTTTCAGCCATACACGAGATCGCACACAACTTAGCGTTCGGTCATAACCGGCCGTTTCATAACAGATTGTTCGGATTTTTTGCCAACCTTCCGATTGGTATACCAATATCGATAAGTTTCAAGAAATACCATCTGGAACATCATAGGGTGGGTATTTTTCTTAATAGTTTTTATTAGTAAATAATATAAACAAACCTAACCCAATGGGCCTACCCTGACCCTATCCCCTACCCCTTGTAGCCCATTTTTTATACGCAGGCAAAAATACTATTTACAGACGACGGCTCCTTTAACAGGCACACCGCCGAACATACCTCACACCTGGCTCCCGCAAGCCTTACCAGCCCCAGCAGTGGTTGCCCACTGAGGACGGCCGCTTTATGGCATAATATGCGCTAAAAACCCTGCGAATACCCTCTAAACTGCTTAGCGCGAAGCCGTGGGATGCCCGTTTAGGGATTCTTCCGCGTCTCCGCACCTAGCAGCCTGCCGGCCTAGCCGGGGCTCCGCGGCAGGGTTCTCCCGGGGTATCGGGGAGACCCCGCAGACGTGCGCAGGACGGCCCGCGCGTGGGTGCTGAGTACGCGGCCTAGTGCCCACCGTACCGCCCCCCGTCCGATGCGGAGGGCTACTTGGGCGTGCCCATGTAGCTCCCTCCGCCCCCCCCCCTTTTTTTTCAGGACAGAACTACAAGGGCGGGCTGCCGTCACGGGGTCCGTCGGTGGTCGGCACAGCTGTCGCCATGCCGGTCAGCGAGGGACCCCCCGGGTAGGGTCATGGGACGGGTGCAGCCAGGGCGCGCCGCCGTCCTCTTCTACCCGTCCTCCTTTGGCGGGAGGGAACGGCCAGGGGATCATCCTCCCGCTCCCTCTCGGCCGCCTCCCATGCCGCAATGAGCTCGCGGCGCTGGTGTCGCCATGCCGGGCACTCCAATAAGGTGTGCTCGGCTTTGTCGTCCGGGGCGCAGCAATGATGCCATTGCGGCGTTTCCTCCCGACGTGCGACACGGTGCAGATAGTTACCGAAGCATCCATGCCCGGTCAAGACCTGCACCATGCGGAACGTGAGGCACCCCATGGAGCCCTGGAATCTTACTCACCAACAGAAACACAACACCACTAAAAAGTAGTGTTATTTTGTACCTAAACTAACCTTACCTGTAAGGTGGAGGTTACTTCCCCAGCCTGGCGCTCTAATTCGAGCGGCAAATCAGCTATGCCCTACCACTCTTGCTATGCTCATAGATGGAGTTAACTTGCTTTGTAATTTACTATGCCTTATAAAAATTGTGTGCACGGAACAGACATCTGAAGTGAAAGTTCTTTTCTTAAATAACCTAATGCATAAGGCATAGGGGAATGGAGCAGCGCATGCATCACTTCGCGTGTGACGCTCCTAGCGTTTCAGCCTTCGCCGAGTTCCCCACCAACTTACATGCTCGTCGGGAAAAGCTGCGCACGCATCTCACACACGCTTAGATATATATATATATATATATATATTCGTGCGACGCTCACGACGAATTTTCGTTTCATCTTTTCCATAGGATTATTCCATTTACACCCCGTCTTATAAGAAGTTTCACTTCAAAAAACACTCGTGCAAAGGAATGTCGCCTTAGCCGTCCCCAGATGGTCTTAAATATACGTATCAATTTCCTCTGCAGTACCAAGGCGATGAAGTTATCGATACAGATTTACCGACGCTATTGGAAGCAAAGCTGTTCTGTACGACTGGTGGAAAGATGCTATGGCTGCTCCTCCAGCCGTTGTTCTATGCTATAAGGCCGCTGGTTGTAAGACCGAAGCCGCCTACGCCATTGGAATTGGCCAATCTAGTCATACAGCTATTCTGCGACGCTATAATCGTGAAGATGTTTGGTAAGTGTGCGCAGTTTATCTATTTATTTATGAAAGTTATCGAAATGTAATATGGAGTGCAGTGGTGGAGTGTAGCTGAGAGCACCTTTCGAGAGCACACTGAATTTTATTATATGTTTTTGTATTGTATTTATGAAAATGTGTTTATTATATACTTATATGTCAATATATGTTATATACATTTATAACACATTTTCTCGTAAAGCGTCTCTTATTGCACCAATTTCAATATCATAATCTATCACATTACACACGCGTGCGGTAATGTAAAGTAAAACGCACATCTTATTATGTTCCGTCTAAAAACGAACGATACTCTTTTAAATCTTAGCAAACAGTTTTTATGTCAGAAAGGTAGCCAAGATTTTCTTAATAAAATCAACTTTGGGAGATAAAATATAATATATAAACATTTAATTATTTAATTTGATTCATTTTGACAATAAATTACAATCATGTATCGGTAACAAATTCACAAAATTATTAATTTACTTCATTAGTAACACTGGCTGTGTTTTGTTCCTTTGCCTAAAAAAAGCGTTGATACGCGCGCATCAGTAATCTGTGATAAAGTTATTTCTTTTTCTTTTCGCTGTATTGTTTTTATTTGAAAATATTGTCAAGTAGTAACGAATTTATTAATTTGACACCGCCAGAAGTCGAAAAAGGCCTAAGCCTGTTGCCCGAAAAAATCCACGGATAAATACTTACAGACAAGCGTATCAAAATTTCATCTTATGGAAAACAACGTTGATAGTATTATTTCCTCGCAAATGTGTTATAAAACGTCGTATGACATACATGCGGTTTGATAATTATACAGCCTCTGCCTTCTTATATATATATATAAACTAGCTGACCCAGCGAACTTCGTACCGCCATAAAAAAATAAAAATAAAAAAACATTGTCCAGCGGTCAAAAAATTGTGAATCTAAACCATTGTCAGATCCCCTTGAACACACACAAAAAATTTCATCAAAATCGGTCCAGTCGTTTAAGAGAAGTTCAGTGACATACACACTCACAGAAGAATTATATATATAAAGATAAATTAATAAACATATACAATTATAGATAAATAAATATATACATACACTTAATTAGTTAGAAATAACTAAATATATGATGGTAAAGATAGATAAAAACCTTAACGTGGGTTCCTAGTGCAAATTTGTTACTTGCTTCATAAATGCCCGCTGGACGCATTCTGTTTAACAACGCTCAATCAGAAATGATAATTTTAAATTGATGTCGATTCTGGCATGATCCTTTTAACCTAAAATTAAATTTGACAACAGGTATGTCCTTGTCATTCTCTACACAGAATGAATAGGAGAGACAGATATTAAATTTAGTTTTCAGTTCATTAGAGCTTTGACATTTATGTATTCTTTTTCTTTCTTGCAGGTTGGAAAGTGTTAGCTTATTTGATATGCGGATCATTGATGGCTATGGGCTTACATCCTGTCGCTGGTAAGAATATGAATTATTCTTAGAAATAACTTAATTAGTATTAAATTATACAATTTTTTAAAAGAATAAGTTTATGTTATGATAATACCTAAATAGAAGATTAGAACTCTTTTCTTGTAAGTTACTCTCTAAGAGTAACATGAGCTACCAATTTAAATTATTTTAATTTTGCATTTAAATAATAGCTACATTTTTCTACCATTTTGTACATGCCATTTTTGTGTTAGTAAAAAGATTTCATCAAAAAGTAACATTTCTGCAAAACCTAGCATAAACTACTATTATGCTTACAAAATCTACCAAACACTTTTTCCCGCACAGGTCACTTCGTATCGGAGCACTACATGTTTAGGAAAGGCTTCGAGACATACTCTTACTATGGACCATTAAACTGGATCACCTTCAACGTGGGTTACCATAATGAACACCACGACTTCCCCGCTGTACCAGGGCGGAGGTTGCCAGAGGTAAAAATGTAAAAATTCAGTAGCAAACATTTGTTAATCTTGCAAACCTTTTTTATTTATTTGATTCTAAATATTTCTTTTTTCTTATAAGATTTTCTAAAGAACAGTTTTGTTAAAATTCTGTAAGGTTTCTCTAGTCGGCGGGAGGGGATAATTACAATTTAAGCTCAATACTAATTGTGCTCTCTTTAATAGAATAAAATATATCTATTATATAGAAAATGTGTTTTTAGTTTTAAATTATGGGAAGGCACAGAGAACTAAAACCTAGTCTTACCAGGGGGCCAATCGCCTAACGGAAATGCTTTGGAAAACGCTAACGCTTACGATTTTATTTTGTTATTTCTAGCCGCCTGAGGTATTCAAATGCCTCGCGCTCTTTCTTTTTCTTTTGCATTGGTAATAACAATATTAAAAAAAAATTAGCGTGAGGTATTCGAAAACCTCAGGCGGCTAGAAATAACAATATAAAATCGTAAGCGTTAGCGTTTCCCAAAGCATTTCCGTTAGGCGATTGGCCCCCAGCCTAGTCTTCAAATTTTCCGACCTCCGTGGTCGAGTGGTTTGTACGCAGGGTTTCATGGTGTCGCCGACTCGAGGGTCCCGGGTTCGAATCCCGGTGGGGGCAGACGTTTGTGTGATGAATGCGAGCATTTGTACTCCAGTCATGGATGCTTAATATGTATTTCTATATAAATATACTCATATATGTACTGTATAATTATGTATTCTATCCGTTACCCTAGTATCCCATAACACAAGCCTTACAGCGCTTACTTTGGGGCTAGGCTAATTGGTGTGAGTGTTGGAAATATTTGTTCATTTATTATTATTATTTATTCCCTTTTTTTATTTTTCAATTAGGTGAAACGCATAGCAGCAGAGTTTTACGACGATCTACCACAACACAATAGTTGGTCTAGCGTTCTATACGATTTCGTAATGGACCCAGCAATAGGCCCTTACGCCAGAATCAAGCGAAAGCAACAACAACGTAAGCTGCAAGAGTTAAATGGTAAGTTAACGAATTAACTATGATCTCAAAGTCATAATAGCATTTAACACTGGATAGAAAACTACCATTTTCTACCATACGGTAACAGTGTTGTCAGTTTCTAAAGAATTTTCTACCGTTTACCAATATATATATATGAATATGTGTATTTTTCTATCGTCAAAAAGTTGAATTTTGAATACGAATTTATGTACATACATATACAGTGTTGTAAAAAGGTATTTTTGTTTTGGTTTTCAATGTTAAATATGTATACTTCTCAGTTTTAATGATATTGTAAATTTTGTATTGGAAATGTTTACCGCCATTTTGTGGAGATTAATTAAAATTGCGGTGAACTAGATTTTGTTATGTAAACAATATATTCAGATGAATATCTCTCGAGTGCATAATAGTAATCAAAAAATAATGGACACCTATTTTTTTCTTTTGTCAAACAACCGAAAAATAACACAGATAAATCACGCCAAAGTCTGGTGTACAATTCTATGTATTGTTTGACCAATGGGCAGAAAGGTGTGAAAGAGATGGAGTGATAGTGTGAATGGTAGTTTGTTTGGAATTCAACTTACCTTTATTGGTTTTGAAATTGCCCAATCCATTCTCTCTGTGTCTTTGTTACTAGCAAAGTTTCAGTAGGTTGCCATTTGGAAAATAACGAGATCTTAATATTTTTTAAGCGTATTCTCGATTTATTTTTGTAATGTATTTTTTTAGTTTTTTAGTGGCCAGGAGGGGTATAAATGATATCGGGTCCAATTATGCCGTGATTCTTTAAACTTAAAACTAAATTTAACATCAGTCTCTCCTTTTCATTCTGTATAGAGAATGACAAGGATATACTGCTGTCAAATTTAAGTTTAGGTTTAGAGATTCATGCTAGAATCGACACCAGTGTTTAACTAAAATAATTTATTCTTACGTAAGGTATAAATCAAATTTATAAGTAAACTGAATTGATTTTATTATTTTTCAAATTCTAATGTGGATAAATATTTTTGAAGTGAAACTTCTTTACGCACGCTTGACTTGGGGGGTAAGCTGGCGAACGTGTTACTAAAAGTGTGTTCGGGCGAGGCGAACGGGAGTCGAGTGGCGGATATAAGCAAGAGAAAGCAGTGCGCGCACACATTTTCTTTCTCTCTTTCTCATATAGCTTGTAAATGAAATAAATATGTTTATGTACATACATGTATATATTGCACACACACACATATGTATACATACAGATGGAGCTATAGAAGTTTCACTTCAGTCGTGTGGTCATAAGCAGACTCGTATTTTTTTCTAATTTCGTATAAAAGATAAAGTAGGTATAAATCATCAAACAAGTTATTTATTCATATTTACTCCGGCAAACAAGTTGTCAGACAAGAAATCCTGCGCCTGCGCAATTTGTCTGCGGTTTTTGCGCTATTTATATTAATAGTAATGATATCTTTTACCCCTTGTTAACACCAAGGTATAATACATTTATTTAACAAATTTTAGACAATGTCCAAATTTTTTGTTCACACTTATATACATGTATAAAACATGTTGTATACAATACTTGCATCGAGCTTGTTGGATAAACAAAATATGTGAAATAAATGAGTGATTTATACTCTTGTAAGATACTAGTTGTCTATACGCAGTCTAAACGGAAGAATGTTTTAAACAGTCACAACATGTATACAACTTGTTACTTCGTAGAAACGAGAGGTTAGGTCAGTAACAAATTGTATATATGTCTTGTTTTTTTTTAAACTTGGACACTGACGAATCAATAAGGCTCGTAGTGTAGAAAGATTCTCAGTAATTAATCTTGTCTTGAGCATAATCAGAAATGGATTATGCTATATATAGCACATAGCGACATCCCTTTCTAACTGTACTCAAGTAAAGGTCAACACTTAGCTTAGGTTAAAACAAAAAGGGAAGATACGGTACGCTCATACTAGCATCAAATAAAATATGATCCGACTCAACTACATGAGCAACTCTCACACACGCACACGTCTGTAAATAAACATTCAATCGAGCGAGCGAGATGGAACTGCACGCTTCAACGCAGCGCGAGCGAAACGGCGAGTCCGCTTCCGAATCCGTACGGCTGAGCTGTATTGTTGTCCTTTTCTAGATAACGAAATGGCGATTACGTTAAGAACATTCACGACAAACCATGATTTTTACAGTTTTACGAAAGAAAAGTGTTGCCGAGGTTGTTATTTGATTTTGAACTATTTGTGTTCTTTATAATAGCATCGATTGTAGCATAACACAGAATATACGCAATATTGTTATATTGAGTCCACATGCAGCGTGTTTGAATGTCCAATTGTGACTACAGCGAATTGTGGTCATGCACCACAATTTAAGCGGATCACTTTTGAGCTGCGAGTGCCGAATCTTCCCTTCTTGTTTTAATTTAAGACACTTGTCATTCTGTAATACGAGCCTAAGACTTGGCAACCAAAATAGTATGTCAACCATTTTATTACATTATTCCAGTGTCAATGATAGCCTATCCCAAATATTTGTTATAGCTTAATGTAAATTATGATATTACTTTTATTTGAAGGAAAACTTTTAATTTATTATATAATTAGAATATTGTTGTGATGAGACTTGAAGGAAATGTTCTGTTACATTCGTTTTTTTATATAAAAGTATAATTATACTGTCATTGATGTCGATTCTGGCATGATTCTCTAAACCTAAACTTAAATTTGACAACAGTGCATCCTTGTCCTTCTCTATACAGAATGAAAAGGTGAGACTGACCTTTAATTTAGTTTTAAGTTTAGAGATGCACGCCAGAATTGACACCATTGCTTATTTAAATAGTTCTTATAGGCTGGGAGTGACAAAAAAACATAGAAAGCGGTAGATGTTATTTTTCCCTTCCAAATCAGATATTGAGGGATCATCAAGACGGAAAATATAGTACATAGACGAATTCCTTATTGTTTTCCGAATGTCACTTAGCCTGTTAAAAGTTTTTGAATTGAAACTTCTTTACGCACACTTAACTTGGGGGTAAGCTGGCGAATGCGTTACGCGTTACGAAAAGTGTGTTCGAGCGAGGCGAACGGGAGTTGAGAGGAGGATATAAGCAAGAGAAAGTAGCGTGCGCGCACATTTTCTTTCTCTCTCTCTTATAGCTAGTAAATGAAATATGTATATGGACATATATATATATATTGTACATACAGATGGAGCTAAAGAAGTTTCACTTCCGTCGTGTGGTCATAAGCACACTCGTTTTTTTATGCATGTCTATATTTGTTAGTCATTATTAAGCCGGCACCGCTATTTGCTATTTGTGTTTGTTATTTGTAAACTTGACATCAGACTGCCCTTTTCATTACTTATAAAGCATGATAAGGACAGACTGTTGACAAGTTTACAAATAACGAATACGAATAGGCAAGTGAAGTGCCGACATTGTGGTAATGAATTTGACCCGCAAATTACTTGTACGTATTTATTAATACTAGTTATTTTATTTTTATAATGAATTGCTAGCGGTGTATAACATGTTAGTTACTCAATTTTAGACCCAATTGATATTATATTATAAAGCTTGTTTTAGAATACATAGCAATAATGGATTGTGTTTAATGTTTCAATTTATTTTGTTTTACATACCTACCGAGTTTTTGTGAAAATGATATAATTTATCCAAATTATTAGAAACCAATACTTATTGTGAGAACACTTCGTAGCGGACTGGATATAGATTACACGTTACTATACACAGTGAATTTTGAGTATTTTTTTCTTTTATTTTGGCAACAAACAGTCATATATTTTACAAAAGTAGCTTATTATAATATTTTTTTCTGAAATAGACCTAACAGTGCCTAAACAGAATATGAAACCAGACCTGAAATGTGTGTGGGTGTGTGTGTGTCTGTGTGTGTGCGCGTGCGTGTACCTGTTAAACTTAAATAGTGAGACAGTAAACGTACTACACCCCTATACACAAAAATATTGATTGATGTCGTTTACAAAATATCCTAGAATGGTGCAAATTGGAAAATAACATAGTTTTATTTGAATCAATTTATGACAATTTAAATCCTTAAGGTTTCGTTATTGCACAATGAGTGGGTTTAAACCAGAGACACTGCGAAAGAATCAATCAAAGAAAACAATATGTCTTGCAGCCTAAGAAAGGTAAGGAGAAAATTCGACACGGCCATCAGGGCCGCGGTAGCATAATGGTTAGTGCATTCGCCCGGATAGCGAAGGGTGCGGGTTCGAGACCCGTCAGCTCGTTTTTTCTAACAAAATGTTCTTTAGAAAACAATTTTTTTTTGCTTATGTGTAACTTAAATTAGCTATAAAAATTTCTGAGGTAATTCAAAATTAGCTGTGTATATTCTCTATAAGTTATCACTTTTCGATTCCAGTACTCTCAAATCCAGTAATTAAATGAAAATGCTGAACATGTTTATTTTTTAGAAAGGAGTTCACATTATTTTGCTATTATGGGTTTTCATATAATTTACACGAATATTTAAAGAGGCAGGATTTGTTCTTGTACCGATCAAATCCAAAAAATACTGGACTTCTTTTAAAAATTATTTCTCCATCAGAAGGCCACATTATTCCTGAGTGGCATACATTGATCGGTAATAGCAAATATGTAATTACATTTTGTTAATTTCTAGCGTATTAGAAAAAGCGAGGGGTATGAATAATGTATATATTGGAATATGTTGTGTATAGTCTAATATATATCCAGATTATGGCGATATATAAAAATGTATGTACATTCGTACCGGGTATATATAACTTTTTATTAATAATAATGATATTAAATTAAATTGCTTTCAATCTTAAATGAAATATTAAGTGTAAAGGCTGATTCACATTGGAATTGAAAACACAAAACGATTGAAACAGGCTTTGCTAAACCCTAATGATAATATTTATAGTTTTTGTAAGTAACCCTCAGAGACTAAAGCAGATTTAATTATAGATTAATTTTCTACCTCTAATGCAAATAGAAATAACGCAAAACCTGTAGAATGTTTTGTATAAAATCGATACTAAGAAATGATGATAACAATAATAATTGTACCCCATTCGCGGAAACAAGATGGTGAAGCTAAGCTTTTCTGTGATTGGCCGGATTGTGTTCCAGTCGTAACTCCAGCCAATAACAGTTAGGCCTCTTTGTTGTGTGACGCAGTTTTCCATTCTTGTGTTTTGTAAGCGATTGTGTGATAGAGTGATAGCTCCACTAACTCGTTTTCGTTAACGGAGTATGTTTAATAACGTAATATCTATGATATTTTTTTGATATAGATACACGCTTCTAATTTGACAATACGAAATATATTGTTATTGCGAATACATATTGACGACCTCAGTGGCCGAGTGGTTTGTACGCCGGGTTTCATGGTGTCGCCGACTCGAGAGGTCCCGGGTTCGAATCCCGGTGGGGGCAGATGTTTGTGTGATGAATACGAGCATTTGTACTCCAGTCATGGATGTTTAATATGTATTTCTATATACTTAAATATGTATTTGGGGCTAGGCTAATTGGTGTGAGTGTTGGAAATATTTATTTAATTTACATATTGGGGGCAGCCGATATAAGTAATTAAAACGATTGAAAAAGGGGCTGCAACGAGATTACGATAAATACACAATTACGAATGGGTTTGCTAATAGCGTAACGTTTGGAACCTTTGTCGGAAGCTTGTGGTCCGCGTATTCTTCTAGCTAGAGGGGCACATGAACAGCACACACAGTCATATAAGAAATTCACAGTTTATTGTTGACGAATTCCACTTGTTTGGTTTACCGCACGTAAAGATTGTGGTTATACGATGTTAGCGAGTGCGCGGGCGCGGAACGGAGTGACGTAGGTCCTCTCGCGTGATCAGTGGCTAACTGTCTGCGTTAGGCTAGTAAAAAACCACATTCGCAGATGCATCGTTCTCGTTGCGAACCTACCCACATTTGAAATAATAAATAAGTCACCACGATTAAGTGATAACGGAACACGAGTCTCTAAAGTCAGGTAACTTAATATTCTTGCATTCAGACAGGCACGCTCTTTCGCCGCGGCTACACTTCGCTTCAACGTGTAAACATTTTACGTTTTTTCCAGACAATCAGCCCCTATGTGTGTTTTTAGTTAGTACACAAATTACACGGCAACTATTAGAGACAAGAAAAACGTGTAATTTCATTCGTAAGAACAGTTTTAAAGAAATTAATGTAAAAATAGTTGGTGATTACTTATTTTGACAGCTTCTGACACGACACCGTTGATACCGTGGAGCAACGATATTAAATACCCTAGATACACCAACACGAACAAAATAGTACCCGAAACTTGTCCAAAAGGTACATTGAACGATCCACGGAGCTCCGTAAGATGATCGCGTAGTCAAAATCAATATAAGGCATTATTTAAATATTGAAAGTTACCTTTAATACATACTGTATAAGGTCTTAAATAAAACGCATGACGCACAACTTATTGATATATGCGGAAGAATTTAGACCTTAGTTCTTTGACTCTACGCGCAATTCTGAACGCGCTGTTAGCAATATAGCAGGCGCGGACCGCGAGGAAAAGAGACGGCTATATGGCGACGTATAACCGACCATGCATTTAAATATCACAAATATTTTATATTAAATCACTTTATAGTAAGTATTATATGAAAATTTACTTCAAATGCGTTAAATTAACAAACATTGACTTGATACCTGTCGAAAAAACGACACTTTTCGTACTCTAAGTTGTTGCCAAGGGAATAGACTTCATTGCTAATCACAGAGGTATAAGAATAGAGTGGAGAAGGCGGCTCTAAAAGTGTCCGTCTAGTAGAAAGAGAAAGAAGATGAGAGACGGCTAGCTATCTCTCCCTCTTGTGACGCAGAGCATCCAATGGCATCACATCGAAATAGTAAGACGCTTACGGTTGCCAATGCGCATGCGCGATTAGAGAGAGAAAGCTAGCGGGCTCTCATCTTCTTTCTCTTTCTATTAGAGGGACACTTCCACCTGTAGTAGTCTAGTCTCTATCTCCCCTACTCTATTTTTATACCTCTATGTTGCTAATGTGTTTTCAGTTCATTATTTTTCTTTTTAAGCATAATAAACTGTTTGATATTTATATCTAAAGGCGTCTGGCTGAACAGCGGCGCTAGAGATTCTTTAATATCCCAAGTGTATATTGGTTAGTGTGGCCGGTTGCCATCTCGGGCGAGGCATAAGCAAAATATGTTTATAAAAGGGTATTTATTTATTTAATTCTTAATGCACAATTGTACAATGGCGGACTTAACGCCGTAGGCATTCTCTACCAGTCAATCAGGGTGTTGTGGTGAAAATTAGTGGATATGATTTTTTTTAAAACATATGTATATATTTTAATACTAATAGTTATGATTTATTAATAGTGTCATTAGCCCGTCGTTAAACAGTTGTAAATCAAAGAAATGTAATTAACAACCTGTGATACTTACTTCATAAAAATAAATATGTAATTATTTTTTATAATAATATAAAGTAATTCTAATAAATTGTGCCTTTAGGTTTTGCGTTATTTTTCTTTAATAATTTTAATTATGTATAGATTCTAACTCATTACCAGTGTATGATACAGTATGTGAGGTGTATTTTGTGTTTTTTTCATATAAAATAAAAAGTAATAAACACATTGACCTCCATGTTTTTTATTATTTTTCCATTAGAATTAATATTGTGCATCATTATCATCAGTCTATTAGGCGCTTTGCAGACGACGGGGCGGGGCGGACTTTTTGTCCGCGAAGCAATAAAAACCGCGTCTGCCCGTCGATGTCTGCGGCTGCCCTCGCCGCGTACACAAAGCACACGACGGGCAGAGGCTGTCAGTTTAGGACGTTCGTTTTAGTGAATAGTCCATCACTAATAAGCGCGTGGCGCGGACTGAGCTGACCGCCCCGCGCCGCCGTCTGCGTTACTGCATATAAACTGGTTTGTATGATCCACGGCGGGCAGCCGCGGACATGCCGCGCCGCCACTGCCCGCCGGGCACCCAAGGCGCGGTCTTTTTGCTCTCTGTTTGCGTTTGAAGTATTGGTTTCACTTTGTGCTATTATTCGCGGCGAAATTGACCAGCCCGCTCCGCCCCGCCGTCTGCAAAGCGCCTTAATGTCCTCACTGCTGGGGCACAGACCTTCCCTATGGATGGAATAGGGAGAAAGGGCCATGACCCACCACGCGGGCCCAGTGCGGATTGGCGGGTGCTCACGACTGCAGATGCAGCCGGGACCAACGGCTTAACGTGCCTTCCGAGGCACGGAGAAACTCGAGACAAGATTTTTGGTCACCCATCCAATGACCGACCACTGCGAAAGTTGCTTAACTTTAACGATCGCAGCTGAACGCGCTAACCACCTGCGCCATCGAGCTCCATTGTTATTACATACAACTACGCATTGTGCCTGCATAGTTGGTCTTTCTATTCCGTCCATAGCATATATCGCACGTCACAAACAACAGGGTACTATATCGGCAAAACCATTTTTTTGTTTATTTGCGTTTCGAAAACTACATTTTTTTCTCTATAAACTGGTGAGATAATTGTATTCTAATTCGAAATAGTTTTTGAATTTGAGTTTATCCCCAGCCTTAAATTAACAGCTAGTCAAATCTTATAGAGATTGAGATACTTTTCGAAAAAACGACACATTACGGACTGTAGATATTTTTTTCGCGTACTTCGCGAAGCTCTGCGGCATCTTGACTTTTCAACTGTCCGCGCTTCACTGTACCAAGAAGTGTTCGAGTGGTTTTTAAGCATTTCTTGATTGGGACACATTCTGAGCGCACGTGGTGTATCTAGGGTATTTAAATACGTTGTAAAAAATGCAAAAAAAAAAAATGTTTTTTGTTCAGTTTTGTAATAATAATTCCGGTAGGGACGAAACATTCTAAAACTTTGTGTCATTTCATGAAAACGAAAAATAAATGTTTTATTTAGGAATGTCTGATTCCACAATATGCTTTCAATAATTAGCATTCTTCAAATGCGCGCTGCTAACTGCGATCATACTTCAAACAATCATAAACGCATCGTCAGAGCCATCAATGAAGCACAGGTTAAATTTAATACATTATTGGTCACCCATCTGATGTCTGGCCAATGCAAACTTTTGGTCAACCATCCGAAGTCTGACCAATGCAAAAGTTGCTTCCTTTTTTTAAGTGAATTCGTAAATAAAATACATAGTTGTATACAAAAATTCAATTTATTCTAAGTACATTACACACAGAAAATAATCACAATATTATGGATGGAATCTTCATTATTGTATTTACCAAATTACATTAATTACTTATATGCAAATATAATGTTCTAATTTAAATGTGCATCGTTGGGTCTATTCGGCATTCTATAAACCTCTCGACGTCAGACAGACAGCCTTTGAAGCGAGAAGCCGCTATAATAGCATTCTTATGTCTCGCTTTAACAATGAAAATTGTCTCCCATTAGAAATTCTCAATAGAGTGAAATTTAAATACAACTTGGATCTAAACCACAGAATACAGAAAGAGGTTAGAAGGCTGTTCTTAGACCGTTTTGTACGGGAACCTAATCGGATGTCGCCGGCTCGCCCCCACTACTTTTCCACCTAAAAGATAATAGCCAATCAAATGAAGCGGCATCAAACAATCGAACCAATCAGCGCTCACAACCGTGAGCAACGATGCAATCAGAACCAAGTTTTGGCCAAGTTATGAGCATTTGCTCACACATAACTGTGGCGCGCCTGCCCCGTCCACAAGGCCCTCCTAACCTCTTTCTATGTTCTGTGATTTAAACCATTTTGCAACGTCGAGGTTTGTATGGCAACTGCAAAGTGTCAAAACGCTTCAATTGATTTCCACCTTATTGCTTAAAAGCAAAGGTTGAAGATCGTTTGTTAGGTTCTAAGGTTTTGTAATTTTTTCTATCGATCGATTATGGGTCTAATATGAAGCATCTTAAAGTTCAAAGACAGAGAAATATGACAGTTCTGAAAAACTTTAGACCTGTGTCTCCATACACAAACTTAACATAAAATACGTATTCTTTTTCTAATATTGCTTCTCTTAAAATACCAAATAACTCCTTCTTATTTACGGTTTCCCTTACATGGCTTCGAGATTTTCATATATTCGTTTCTATAAACTTATTAGTTATTGAAGTCAAATATATAATTATAGTTTAAAATGTAAGTAGGCACTTGACAGGCACAAATTGTCAATATTAATTACATCAATCGTTACAACAAGAACAGATATAAACACATTTTTTAAATATGGTAATATTTAGAAAACATTCCATGTAATGGCGGGAAATTTAGAGAGTAGCTCAGCCATTAGGAAAAAAGAAAGTATAAAAAAAGTCCTTAATTTAATAAAAATATCATTACAATAATAATAATTAATTAAAAATATATTAATAGATAGTGTTTCATAAACGCATTGGACGGAAGTTGTAGTAACAAACAAGGGCATTTTTTATAAAAAAAAAAGTTTTTTGATAAATCTTAGTTGGTAATAGATTCATTTCTCTTAGTCTATTTATATCAGGTAGATAGATTATCGAAAAGTATAGGACACGTATTTTTTTAAATAAAACTAGTTTTATACGGGTTAATGCACGAAACTTTATTTATTTATTGACGTTTCGTAAAAAACTAGTTTTATTTAATGAGTGATGTGCGTGAACACCTAAGAAACAAACACGTATTTTTTTATTAACACAAAACATTACAAATATATTTCGATTTGCAAATCGGATGGGTCGAATGTGTCTTGGTATTTTAATATAAGTGTATCTTATTTTTGATTTTCTAACTCATGGACTTAATAGAATTTCGTTTACTGTACCACGTCATCGTTTAAAACATGCTTTTAATTAAAATTGACGTGTATATATAAGGTCAAGATAGAACAGTTCAAATAAACCAAACAAAGAAAACGGCTCAGGTTACGTGCAAAGTGTGCATATTTCTAATATCGGATTGTTTGAAAGCAGCCAATGTGTGCGTGTGTGGCGACGAGCGTATCTACTAGACTTGCAACGAATAGTATATTCGGCAGTATACCGAATATTCGGCTAGGCCCCTGACCGAATAGCCGAATATTAGGCAAAAGTATTCGGCTAGATTTTAGCGCCAAAAACTTGTACAGACGTGATTGTTGCGCTTCTTTGTTTTGTTCTAATCTGCCGTCCTCAAGCTAAAATGCGGCTAAAGGACAAAACCAACTTTTGAGATATGGCCAAAAAACGGCGTTTAATAATTGCTAATATGTAACCATTCATCACATGACTGAATGAATTAAAAACTGTTAACTTGTTTAATACAGAAAATGATTAAATTATGTATTACAATGACTACTTAATAAATGATTATAAAAGAAATGAGAACCTTACCCTTCTAAATTTTGATTACCACAATAATTCAAATACCTACATAGATTCCTCCATTTTTCAAATTTATAAGATGATTATGTACCTGTGTTATGTACCAATGACTACTTAAATGATTATATAACAGAAATGAAAATATGAATATATACGTAATCGATCGATTTTAATTTTTCATTTTACCAATTATTTCTCTATGACAAAATATATTTTTTAAGTATTCGGTATTCGGCCGAATAATATGTAGATATTCGGTATTCGGCCGAATATAATAAAAGCAGCCGAATAGGCCGAATACCGAATAGTAACCGAATATTCGTTGCAAGTCTAGTATCTACCATATGTAGTAGATATTTTTGTGCCGTTTCCTTGCAGTTAATAATGATAGATATTATCATATTATTTTCAACAATAAACTGCATAAATTTAAAATAAATAATAAAATTTAAGTGAAGATTCATAGAATTTAATTGATTTATTGAATATCATATCTACAAGAGCACTTTTGGTGGGAATTTAAAATTATTTGATACATTCAAAAATATAGTTAAAATATATTTTGTTTTTTTGTTGTAAAAGTTTAAATACAACTGTCATACGAATGCCCAATGACATAGTTTTTATGCCACAATAATAATAATATAAATTAATTTTAAAAGTCTATCATGTTTCAGACTCTAAATATAAAGATCTATGCTCATTGTGTATTTCATAAGCATCTAGATAGAAAAAAAAGTATTGAGACAATTTATATTTCGTTTTATTTGACTCATTCTAATTTGTTTTACCATACTAACAATTTGATTAAATTGTAAAAAAAACTAGAATAAAATTCACGCGGACCAGGCAGCAAACAGGAATCGAATCAGCACCCTTCGCTAAAAGGGCGAATGCACTGACCATTACGATACCGCGGCACTGATGGCCGTGACGAATTTTCTCTAGCATTTCTTAGGCTGCAGGGCTGTGCCATCTCTTCGCATTGTAGGTAACACACAATGTCAAATGAATACCTTTACAAGTATTAAACATTTAAAAGAAGAAATAGCAATTACAGCAATATTTCAATATTTTGTCCGCTGCTTGGGACGTGTGAATATTTATCTAGTAAAATTTTCTTTAGATTTAAACATCTAGCAGTTAAATGCTTCAAAAATTATAATTTGAATATTTTATTTTTGTTACGAAGCTGGTGCGTAAGAATCTAAACTTAGGAAACGCACAATGTGCATAAACCCTAACGCTTACAACTAAATTAATCATTAAAAAGGTGTGCTATTAGGTATAAAAATTATATAAGTCACAATTTTCACTATATCTAAGTTATAAGGCATTTTTTCATCATTAATATTAGTTAAGCTATCTAATAATATTCAAGAGATTCTTCGTTCTGTTACTTAATAAAACAAAATATGAAATAAAAAATTCACTGCATTCTGTCAGTCTAACTCAAAAAAGGTCAACTATTATAATATAATACTTAATCAAGTCATTCTATTGTTAAGAAAGCGACAGTGACATCAACAACTTTAGTCAAACTTAAAAATAATTGACCTCTCCGAGTGCAGCCGAAAAACTCACAATTATTTACGAGATAAAAACTCAATCTATTATTGACTGTAAGACTTAGCTATTCACAGAGTACAAAAATTGTTACATCAATAGGTACTAATACTATAAAGTCTTTTTTGCAAACCTCAAACAGTAGTTTCAAAACCGTTTTCTGCGTCTGGCGACAGAGGCGTAGTTTCATCGACATCCGAGGCCTCGGCCTTATTCTCTGAGGCCATTTTATCATCTGCCTTAAGGTCTAAGGCCGTTTTACTATCGGTCTTTAAGTGTAAGGCCGTTTTATCATCGGTCTTTAAGGGTAAGGCCGTTTTATCATCGGTCTTTAAGTGTAAGGCCGTTTTATCCTCAGCCTTAGTGTCAACGGCCTCGCCCCGTGGCCTCTCGCATCATATTTGCGAGGCCGGCATAGTGGATACAGTGCTGTGTGGAGTGGTTGGCCTCGACCCAGCTAAGGAAGCGTTCAGTGAGGCCATTGTACCCATCTGTAATATGGAATTTATTTTTTTATACTAGCAGGACTTGACAAACATTAACATGGCTGATAACAACATATAATAATCCTAGAACATTAATAAAGTGTATAATATAGGATGCAGATAAATCAAAAATGAAGTCTAAACCTGATCACAACTCTAATTACCAGGTCAACCACCCATTGGACCCATTCTCAAATGCACACAACAAATTTCATTGAAATCAATAAAGCCATTTATCACCCGTTGTAAATCGCCTAATGGGATTGCTATGGCAATCGCTATCTCTTACTATTTAATTATGGTCCGCCAAAGGTTTTTAAATGCCTCGCTCTTTTTTTCTTTTGTATTGGTAATAACAATATTAAAGAAAATGAGCGCCAGGCATTTGAACACCTTCCGCGGTCAGAAATAACAAAATGAAATAGTAAGCGATGGCGATAGCCATAGCTATCCCATTAGGTGATTGACCCCCAGTTTATATGAAGTCCTATAACCTAGCTACAGTACAACCTATTGCATCTATTTGTGAATGTAAGCTACTTAGGACTGGAACGCACACATAAAATTTTATCCAAATAGCTCGAGCTGTTTATGTTTTAGGAAGAGGACCAAAAATCTTCTATCTCGAGTTCCTTCGTGCTTCGGAAGGCACGTAAAGCCGTTGGTCCCGGCTGCATCTGCAGTCGTTAGCACCCGCCAATCCGCACTGCTCCCGCCTGGTGGGTCATGGCCCAATCTCCCTATTCCAACTATAGGGAAAGCCTGTGCTCTAGCAGTGGGGACATTAGATGATGTTAATATTTTTTTAAGTTTAGAGAATCATTTCAGAATCGACACCAATAACATATTTTGAAAAACCCACGAAAAAGATGGCTAATAAATCAGCTTCCAAACTGCGTAAAAACTTTTTAATCAGTGTAAAATTTATTTTTTGCTAGGGACTTTCAAAACCATATAGGCCAAAACTTAAAATGTTAGGTGGGCCGATAGATGTGTGTGGGAGTATATATCATCATCATCATCAGCCTATTAATGTCCCTACTGCTGGGAAACAGGTCTTCCCTGTCGATGGAATAGGGACTTTGGGCAATGACCCACCACGCGGGCCCAGTACAGATTGGTGGGTGCTAACGACTACAGATGCAGCCGAGACCAATGGCTTAACGTGCCTTCCGAAGCACGGAGGAGCTCAAGATGATAATTTTCGGTCACCCATCTAATGACCGACCACTGCGAAAGTTGCTTAACTTCATTGACCGCAGCCGAACGCGCTAACCACTTGCGCCATCGAGCTCCTCGGGAGAATACAAGTAACAAGTAAAGGGAGAATAAAAGTAAAAAAATATATTAATCTAAAGAAAATATAACTAGAAAAAATTCCACGCGGACCAGGCAGCAGACGGGACTCGAACCCGCACCCTTCACAATCCGGGCGAATGCACTAACCAATTATGCTACCGCGGCCCTCACAGACCGCGTCGAAATTCTTCTAGCCATTCTTAAGCTGCAAGGCAGCGCCATCTCTTCGCATTATAGGTAACCCACAATCCGTTCGACGCGGTCCGTGAGGGCCGCGGTAGCATAATTGGTCAGTGCATTCGCCCGGATTACGAAGGGTGCGGGTTCGAGTCCCGTCTGCTGCCTGGTCCGCGTGGAATGACCGTTACATGCTTTAAAATAATCAAAATTATAAATACATTAATTCTTACCCTCAAATGCGCCAAATCTTCAAGCTTCGTCAAATCGGATAATTCCAAATACAGGCTGTACACCAACAGCCAACCATAAACACCGATCACACAGAACACAATCCATATAAGGCACAGGAGCACGTTGTACGCGAATATCATATCATTAACTATGGCTGCGAAAATGAATGCTATGAGGCGGAAGGATATGAACACACCGAAGCAGTATAGCCATGGCACCACGCGTTTCTCGTATTCCTGTAAACAAATAAAAACGAAGTTAAGCAACTTTGGCATTGGCCGTTTTTGGGATGGGTGACTCAAAAATGTGTGGCAGCGACATCTACATGCCCCACATATAACCAACGGATGCAGGAAATAATCACTTGCCTCCTCAAGAGATGGCGCTACCGTCGCTGCGATCAACAAGTATGGGAGCCTACATCGCGCAAGACAAATTCGGAGGCAAATACTTAATGTATACAAAGCCAACATCAGTCGGGCCGCGGCCCTGGCGGGCCAATCACCTATCGAGATTGCTATGATTATCGCTATCACTTACGCCTTATACGGAGCTACTATCACCCAGCTCGGAGGAAGATGTTCCCCTTTGGTCTTCCTACACTAAAATTTATATTTAAAAACATACGAAAAAGATACAAAATAAATTTCGTGCACTAACCCGTTAAAACTATCTAAAGAAAAGTTTACTAGAAAAAAAAAAATCCACGCGGACCAGGCAGCGGACGGGACTCGACCCCGCATCCTTCGCTATCCGGGTGAATGCACTGACCAATTATGCTACCACGGCCCTGATGGCCGCGTCGAAATTTTCCTAGCCTTAAGCTGCAAGGCAGCGCCATCTCTACGCATTGTAGGTAGCCCACAATGTCTTTAGATTTAAACATTTAGCAGTTAAATGCTTAAAAAATAAATAAAATCATATCTAAAGAAAAGTTTTACTAGAAAAAAAAATCCACGCGGACCAGGCAGCGGACGGGACTCGAATCCGCAATCCGGGCAATCAGGGCCGTGGTAGCATAATTGGTCAGTGCATTCGCCCGGATTGCGAAGGGTGAGGGTTCGAGACCCGTCCGCTGCCTGGTCCGCGTGGATTTTTTTCTAGTAAAACTTTTCTTTAGATTTAAACATCTAGCAGTTAAATGCTTAAAAAAATAAAAACATAACCGTTAAAACTAGTTTTATTTAATGAGTGATGTGCGTGAAAACCTAAGAAACAAACACGAAAAAGAGTTAGTTTCAAAGCCGATTTCCCGCTCAAAACTGTTTCGCCCTGTCTTGGGCGACTCTATCTTTCAGAAGACACGGAACAGTGAAATAACACTACCTTTTTTTGGTGGTGCCGTATTAAGTTGGTGAGTATGATTCCAAAACTCCACTGAGTACGAAATGGAGCGAGGGTAGTCAATGTGATAGCATTTTTTTATTTTAATTAAGGTAGGCAAATGACTCTACCCCACCTGATGTTAAGTGGTGATAAAGTCCAAACGCAAAGATAGCTGGTACAGCAGTTATAAGCTGCTCCACCAATCATCCTCACCTTGCCGGCCTGCAAAAGTGCTTCTTCACGCCTCTCTTAAAGGACCCCTGATTATAGGAAGGAGGGAACACTTGCGCCGGTAAAGAATTCCACTTACGAATAGTACGACAAAGAAATGAGTCACCAAAGGACACCCGGCATTTTGTGCCAAAGTTGTATACTTTTTTAATTTTTTTATCTGTGTTTCATAATTGGGTAACGTAGTCTGGCAATATTTGTCATCAGCAGCTAGCTGTCCATGGTCATGAATAAATTATAAAAAAAGCAGCTAGCTGTCAATGTCAAATACGTAGGTTTTTTTTTGTTGAAGTTCTCCCGTTTTAGGGAAGGCAAAGGGAACAATGCCCATATACAGCCTGGTCTTTAATAAATTTATCTTCTTTTTGTTTTTACATTAGAATGTCGGTGTGACACATTCTAATGTTTCTTGGAGTGTTTGGCACGAAATGTATCGAGTTGGCTTTTTCGATAAGCTTCTAGTGAGGTAGTCAACACTACAATAAAATTCTCACGTCCACTTGACCGGAATAGCGTATATTTTAATGATTCCACTAATTCTTCAGTTACGCAGACAGTTGTTACACAAAACCACACCAATTTTATTTCACAATATCCACAATGAACGAATTTAAGAATAATTAAAATAAGACGCCAACCGCACTCGATGAAATCCCGCCAAAAACCCCCTTTTTTTTCTTTCTGTGGCGTTCTCCGTTTTGCACAGAAATTTCGCCAATGTTCAGTAGGTAGTGAGAGAGAATACGTAGGTTTGTCAATATAAACTCTATATGTAGCCGGGTCGTCAAGAGAAATAACGGATAAAAAGGCAATCACAGCAGAGAACATTCACAATCGCGGGAGAATACGCGGGAGCGGACGCGAAATGCGAATGATTTTTTGTTTGTATTTTAGGATTGTCAAATTGACATTTGGTTTTTTATTTAGAAAAAGCAAAGGAATCATGGTTTTTACAGTTACTTGAGTAATATTTTGAAGTAAAATTCTGTCCCTTGAAGATTTAGGGTTTCCATATCAAAAAATATTGATCATTATATAACTTCTTTCCACGATTCACTAAAAATAAGGCAAAAGTAGTTTTATGTAGCAAATAATTTTGGCTTTATTTTGAGACCAAATTCAACTGTATACAAGTTTAGCATTTTTTCTATGAAAAGTGCCGGGTCTCCTTTCTTTGTTCGTGTGGGAATAGTGGCCACAGTAAGTCGGTGGCAACGTAGGCCAGCGCGCGTGGTCCTCTGAAGAAAAGGTGATGGAGGGATAAGGGAGAATAACTCCTCAGAACACTCGCCGTGGTATAGTCGATAAAATGCGCTTAATGATGCCACATCACGGCGTAATTGTAGAGACTCGAGTTACTTGGTTACCTATTGATCGCCAATGATGCGGACAGCGCGCCGCTGCAACCTATCCAAGGCATCGAGTAAAGTACCTAGCGGAGCCATCCCAGAGGTGCGAGCAATATTCCACGCAGGATCACACTTGCGTTTTATACAACAAGCACAGTTGATCGGGCGTGAAAAAACACCGCACCTTGTTCAGGACTCCGAGTTTGCGTGAAGCTGTTTTGATCACGGTTTCGATGTATTCCTTTGGATTCAGGTTTGAGCGATTTCCATACCGAGCATGGTAACGTTGCTCTGTAGCGCCAGTGTTGTGCCCTGAAGAGAGGGAAGGGGAAGGAATGCCGCAAAAACATAGTGATACTTTGATATCGCAAGCGTCTATAAGCTATGGTGGCTGCTTGCTGTCAGACGGGACAAGCACTAGTTTGACAACCTTCTTTAAAATAAAAAAAATTGTGTGCACGGACCACACATCTGAAGTGAAACTTCTTTTCTTAAATAACCTAACATTAGGCGGTGCATAAGGCATAGGGGAATGGAGCAGCGCACGCATCACTCATATATATTATAGCGTGTGACGCTTATAGCGTTTCAGCCTTCGCTGAGTTCCCCTTCAACTTTCATGTTCGTCGGGAAAAGCTGCGCACGCATCCCACATACACACACAAATATATAAAGTCGTGATGTGGGGTGTGTTCCGTAATATAAACCAGTATACTGGCCAGTGCTAATGACGTCAAGAATCGACGCCATGCTGTTGATTCGTTCCGGAATTTCCAAATACACTGATCAGCGCGGTGACGTCATGAACTGGGGCTATATTCAAGCAGTCTCGTGTTTGTGCGCAACGTTCATGCTCTCAAAATTATAATAAAGTGTGTAAATCCTGTTATTTCCTTCATCGATCAAAACTATTTTTTCTGTTTGTTGAGTCCATTATTATCAATTTAATACCTTCACTAACTGCAGAGCGTATACACCCAGCTATTATACGTCAGAGTATTCTCACCAGCATAATATGGCGGCACACCAGTGCAATATGGCGTCGAAATATTGACGTCATTACCGCTGGCCAGCGTACTGGCTTAAGTTTCGGAACACACCCGTGACGTTCGTGACGCATTTCCGTTTCGTCTTTTCCATACGCTTTTTCATTTACACCCCGAAGAAAACAAGTTTCAATTCTAAAAAAATATATTAGATCCATTTAAAGCATTTAATATTACTGCTAGATTTAAAAAATAAAATTTAAAAGGAAATAGGTACTAGAAAAAATTCCACGCAGTCCAGACAGCAGACTTTAACCCGCATAGGCTTAGGCTGCCATCTCTTCGCCCTAATTTGTAGGCAACCCACAATGGTGCGGCCTTGCAGCCTAAGAATACTAGAAGAAATTCGTCACGGCCATTAAGGTAATCCGCCCGGATAGCGAAGGATGCGGGTTCTAGTCCCGTCTGCTGCCTGGACCGGGTGGATTATTATCTAGTAATATTTTCTATAAAAAAGTATAATTATTTAATTGGTATACCTTGTTCTTAATATGCAGGTACGGTCAGCATGAAAAGTGCGAAATAAATAATGAGATGAGGTGAGTGATCGCACAGATGAGTAGTAAATAAATTGTGATAGAAAACTTGTTATTAGCTATAGACAATATTTTTAGGCATACAAAGCTTTCCCCTCTGTCGAAATGGGCATACAAACGATACATGTGTGCAGGATTTGGCGGTGTATTGTGTCATTGTATACGAGGAGCTCGATGGCGCAGGTGGCTAGCGCGTTCGGCTGCGATCGTTGAAGTTGAGCAACTTTCGCAGTGGTCGGTCATTGGATGGGTGACCAAAAATTTACTATGTCGAGCTCCTCCGTGCTTCGGAAGGCACGTTAAGCCGTTGGTCCCAGCTGCATTTGCAGTCGTTAGCACCCACCAATCCGCACTGGGCCCGCGTGGTGGGTCATGGCCCAATCTCCCTATTCCATCCATAGGGAAGGCCTGTGCCCCAGCAGTGGGGACATTAATAGACTGATGATGATGATATATGTGAGCGTCGTAATTACAGTTCTGTTTTTATGCATGTAAGTTAAACTGCATTTGTATGTCCGCAAAAAATGGCAGATGTCGGTCGTTTTCGAAATTATTTTTCGAAACCAGTTTCGGGAAAATAATTATAACTGTTCCTAGTCTCTAGTTTTAACAGAAACATATTAAGTTTAAACCACTTCAGGTATTAGTTGGTATAACTATTAGTAAATGTAAATAGTATTAAACAACAATTAATGTATAATTAGTAACATCGGCCCGTAGTACAAATTTTTCTTTTACTTCCCAATGATTTATTTGTTTATATTTTTGGGTCGTAGTATTCAATTTCATGGCCATTTTGACAATGCCGTCCGTATACGGACTCTTTTTTGCTCAAAAACAGATTTTTACTACCGGTTTCGAAAACAGAAACATTTTTCCTAATTGGCAACCGGTTTCGAAAAAAGAAATACTTTTTCGTTTTCGAAACCGGTTTCCAAAAAAAATATTATTATTATTCTTTTCTGGTAACTGGTTTCGAAAACGGTCGAAGAGGAATAGTTGCTATCATCATCATCATCAACCGCCCATCTTAGTCCACTGCTGGACATAGGCCTCTCCAAATTCACGCCACTCAGATCGATCTTGGGCTACTCGCATCCAGCTCCTGCCTGCCACCTAGCGCAATAGTTGTTGGTTGTTGTTATAGTAAATAGTTGCTATAGCTACTCCCTTTCCTGTTGCTCTAAGATAAGTGCCATTTCTTTTTACAAATCATAGCTTACCTTTCTCAAAGCGTTGATTAGAATGATACTGGTCACTATAACGGCTACTGAGCCAACCCAAGAGAAGAGTGCAAATACAATCAGGACATTGCGAACTGTAAATGAAACAATTGACATGATTTAACCTTTTTTTAATCATCCAGAGATAGAGAGAGAGACAGAGAACAAAGGCCAACAAATTAGGTCACCTTCGGGTAACATCAGACCCGTCTTTCATATTGGGCAAGTGCCTAGGGTCCCGCGATCGATAGGGCCCCCCTCAGATCAAATACAAAGTCTCTTGTTCCTATTAAATCCCCAAACGGAAGTTATAGGGGCCCCATTATCCTAATATGCCCAGGGCCTCCAATAGGTCAAAGACGGTACCGGGTAACATAAAAAACTCAGAACGAACTTCAGTACAGTTAGAAAGGGATGTCGCTATTTGCTATATATAGCGACATTCCTTTCTATACTCAAGACTAGATCAATCACTGAGAATCTTTCTATTATACGGGCCTTAGAGCCGCCTTCCCCACTCTATTCTAATACCTCTATGGTACGTACCGTAACGGGCATGGAGCACCCCCACTAGAGTCCGCATCACACAAATTTTGTTTGGAATCAAAATCGCCAAAGTCGGTGGGGTGCAGGGAGGTCAGCCCCGCTGTGATTGGACGCTTCAAGGTCAGATCATATACTCAGTGCAGCGAAGTGATGAGGGTAAGATCGATTTTAGAAAATATCGATATTTTCTATCGATAAACAATTTATAATAGAGGCCTAGTACTTTGGTGCGCAAATGCGTAATCATACCCTCTCCACTTTCTTACAGCGTTCTAATTACATGACGCGACTAGTAACTACATACTAAATTATATTTGACGACCTCCGTGGCCGAGTGGTTTGTACGTCGGGTTTCATGGTGTCACCGACTCGAGAGGTCCCGCGTTCGAATCCCGGTGGGGGCAGATGTTTGTGTGATGAATATGAGCATTTGTACTCTGGTCATGGATGTTTAATATGTATTTCTATATAAATATACTTATATATGTACTGTATATGTATTCTATCCGTTACCCTAGCATCCCATAACACAAGCCTTACAGTGCTTACTTTGGGGCTAGGCTAATTGGTGTAAGTGTTGGAAATATTTATTTATTTATATAAGCAACACAAAAAAAAAACACGCCCAGGACAAGAAGTATTAATGCAACGATATTAACTACCCTAGATACAACAACACGAACAAAATCGTGGCCGAAACGTGTCCAAAAGGTACATTGGACGATCCACGGAGGTCCGTAAGATGATCGCGTGGTCAAAAACAATATAATGCCTTATTTAAACATTGAAAGTCACCTTTAATGCATACGGCATAAGGTCTTAATTAAAATGCATGCGTCAAGTTCGTAAAATTTTACGATTTATTGTTATGTGTGAAAGAATATAGACCTTATTTTTTTGACTTTTCGCGCGCAATTCTGAATGCGCTGTTAGCAATATAGCAGGTACAGATCGCGAAGAAAAGAGATGGCTAAGGGCGACGTATAACCGACCATGCATTTGAATATCGCAAATATTTTATATTAAATCAGTTTATAGTAAGTATTACAACAATAAAATTTGCTTTAAAGGCGTTAATTAAAAAACATTAATTAGCTACCCGTCGCAAAAACGACACTTTACGTACTATTAGTATTTTTCTGTATTTTTTCACGGAACTCTTTGGCATCTTGACTTTTCAACGGTCCGCGATTGAGTGGAGTTCAAGTACTTCTTGATGGGGACACATTTTGAGCGCTCGTGGTGTTTCTAGGGTATTTAATATCGTTAATTCTATGTCTTTATCTAGGTCATAAACTATGCGCATTTAATTTCATACAAATCCGTTTAACCGTTTTAGCGTGAAAGAGTAACAAATATGCATACACATTTTCGCGTTTTTTCAATTTTATTAGGATATGTTTGAAGTCAAATAAAAACTGTTGGTTGTGTACTCATGACATCTATTATTGTATACGATGAAATAAATAGTTTTTATTTATTTTTTCAATTTCCATAGCTGACAAACTTATCGATAAACTTACGCGTTGAGACATGAGCTGCGTCTGAGTCACTAGCAATACACGTGCCGGTGTGAAAGCGAGATAGCATATATGATGTAGCCCATGCGAGAAAGGGATAGTGTAAAAAGACATCAACGCGTTCACCAAAAAATAAATACAATTAACACCAATTTAATATAACAGTATTTTTGTCTTTTTGTAATGCATTTAAACTAACCAGTGAAAAGTAATACCATTTTTTTAAGACTGGAAGTTGGACTCGACTTTCCACACAATTTAATTGCACAGTACGGCATTTTTTACAGTTTTTTAACACGAAAACGAGAGAAGCAGTTCGACCAACGCTCGGTTAACGAATGAAACGATGTATCGCGACGTCTGTAGGCGTGCCTCACGCATAGGTAAAATACTACTTAAGCTTGGCGTAAGCGCTTGCCCTTGTATGCGGACTCTAGTGGGGGTGCTCCGTGGTAACGGGTGAAAGATCCCGGTGTTAGAAGCCGTGAAGACGATCCGCGCATTCGAAATTTAGCACGGCGCACAATGCGCATACAAATTCTCTATTTTATTCAATTTATTGTAATTTATACGTAATTAAACGTCTTGTCAAATATTCGAGTAACTCATTGGATAGGAGACCGGACTGTCCTACACACGTCTGATTATATTACAGACAAAAATGCTTGGGTTTGAACTGTTCCAATCATTCCAACAGGTTTCCTATGTGAAATAAATCATGATTGTATTGTCGTTGTAACAACATAATGATTTGTAAATGTTATTATTTAGATTACAGAACAAAAGGCAGATGCGAGCGCATGGAACACGCAATGCGTGGCACCATAGCAAATACATATCAAAAGCGAATATCAAATCCGCGACAGTACACTACAACGCATCGTGTTGTGAATAAGTCCCATGAATATTAAGTTTTTATCAAAACTGTGCCGCCTTATTCATACAATGTAAAAACTGTTCACAAAGACAAGAAACAATATCACTTTTCGTCTTCGTATTTGCTTTGGTGCCACGCATTGCGTGTTCCGTTTTGTTCTGTAATCCGTGGTTCTTAAATTATTATTTTAATGTTGTGGAGTTGTTTTCGCTCGTTTTTCTCCGCAGCTAAAAAATATTAATGAGTGGTAAACAAATTTTTGGACGATTCAAAAGACTTGTAGTTACTCTCTTTTAAAAGTTCATTTTTTTTCTAAATAACTATAAAAACGAGCAAACAAAAAATCTCCACAAATCATTATGTTGTTACAATATCAATACATTTGCATCCAATTTGAATAAAGATATTTTGACTTTTGTCTGATCGAGTCAATCTACTCACCAGGTGCGCTTCCAACATACACAAACTGGAAACTAATGACATAGTAGCCGTAATGCACCGAACCCGGGGCAGCCATACCCAGACAGTAGAGGTCAAACACGCTGTGTGCGAATGTGAACAGAGCTATAATCTGCAACAAAATATATAATACTTCAATAATGTACAAAATATATGAATTCACATATTAAGTTTCATATTAAAACTTTTGTCTACACTCATGTTGAAAACTTTAAATTACGAAATTAAAGATGGTTTTATAAAGACATACTTCTAAACGCACATACATAATATTAAAAATAAAACTCATTACAGCACTGATGTAATATAAAATAACTTTTTAATCATTATAGTACACTTTTAGTTTTTAATTTATTAAATTAGGCTATGATATTAGGCTGAATGTAAGCAAAGAAGCTCAGGCATTTGAAAATAGAAATATATTTCTCCTGCGTCCCATACAATTTACTGCAGATCATGATTTGTTATCAAAATTTCAGTTCTGTTCTGCAAATACTTCTTGTTACTTTGTTTAATTTGAATTGTTCCTATGAGTGAAGATAAAATAGTGTGTGCAACTGCATATAATTTTGGTATTAAACATTTGAGTCAACCTATTATCGCACAGATAAATAGATTCTGGTGTTTTAATACCTTCTTAAATGATAGTCACATAAACTACCGTTTATTACTCACTTGGCATGGCCATACTGATAAATTGTTTATTTATTACAAGAGCAGTTTTAAGCATGAAGCCACCGGCAAGTATTTTTGAAGCAAGCAAAAAGACCCTTTCTGCTTTCACAAATCACATTTTAACGTAAGTCCATAGAACTCATTTTTACTGGTATAAAAAATAACTGCTGGTCGCTTTCTGCTAACACCTCTCACATATTACTATTTGTGTTATATAAATGCCGTTACTGGGATTCAAAACTGTGCCTCAGACCTCATAACAAGAACTAAAGCATAGAAGTAATGCTAAGATTAGGGTTGCCAGTTTTTTTTGATCCTGTTAGGGACAAATGCTCATTTTGCCAAACAAATATGGAATCTTAAATTTTTCAGTGAGACAAATAACCCCCTCTGTCGTCATCAGATATCATGTGACAGACTCTCCCGATCACTGCTGAAGGTATTAGGAATCATGTCAGTCTCTATAACTGGACACAATTTATTTAAAAATGGGTCACAATAGGCTAAATATCACTATAAGCAAAGTCATTATATCCGACTTTGTTATAAGGAATTTAATATGAAAACTAAACTTCACTATGTAATTACTTCATAGTAAGCCGTTGGTCATTAGTAGAGTCATTATAAACAGATTCTGCTGTACTTACAAGTGAAATGAACCCTGTGAGCAGTGAACCTCTTTGCAGATCAAGGAAGTATGCATCGTGTAATATAGGCTTCTGGTACCAGGGCAGACGCAAGGACCGGACAGACTTCGACGATTTTAAGTTCGTTGATGACCTAAAACATTAGAACAGGATTGACTAGAAATACAAATGAGTAGATAACTGAATAATATAGGTACATATCTTGTTTTAAGTATATTATACATTTGTAGTCACATAATTTAAATCAGATAGGTACTGCGCAATATTTGCTAATGAATTTAATGAGATTTTTATACGCAAAGCTAGCTGACAGAAGATTTGTCTTATGGGAAAAGTTCATGCTAAAAGTAATATTTCACTTACTTTCCTGTGTAGTGAGAATATACAGAAGGTGTCGACCGATACGTGGACGGTGTTTTACGCCCGTACATTATGAAACAACACTGTTTTTACAATTTATTTAGACACCGTGAACAATCTTGGATTTTATAGTCAGAATCGTAATAATACAAGTCGAAATGCAATTCTATAAAAAAAATCAGATTATAATGGCACAGCTGTAATGATAGGCACTATTTTCCAGTGAGTTTTTGATATTCAATTAGATTTTAATTCAAAAATACTAAAAAAGGCCACGCCTGTGTTGGTTGTTTGATGCCAACAATTTTGACAGTTAAAATCCGACCACTAGCAAACACACTAATTTCGTGCAATGAACCTGGAACTGTATACCAATTACATTTTGTAGGATAATATCTAAGGAAACGGCTACGTTTATGAAGTTAGTTTTATCTGTGTTTACAATTTAATTATTTCTATTGAACACACACTTAATTCTTCACAATAAGCAAATTGGTCTGTAAATTAACATTACTGACTGAACCGCCCCTAAAATCGATCTATTTAGTTTAAAAGTACCTATATATTCCAGTAGAATTTGAATGTAAAAGCCTAGGAGCAATAGGCTAGTTTACTCATGTCGAATTGTATTAAATAAATGTTTATTTCTTAAAGTGTTTAGTCTAAGGAACCTTAATATATCGATTTCACTTCATAAAAGCAGAAGATTGCTGTAGAAATTTATTTTTAAAAAATATTTTTTAGTCTATATTTTTTAAACACTAAAAACGCTGTTCGCCACTTTCGCCATGATTTTGACGTCTCTTGTGGTAAACAACTAAATGTCATTCGCGTGTTACTATATGTGGATTCTTTCGTCTGACTAAATTTAACTTAAAACACTTTTAACTTTAGGAAAGAAAAAAACAGTAAACTTAGTTTTTCTTGACTAAACAAATTATGGATGCCGGCTTTGTGAAAGCAGAAATCACAAATCTGCCAAGAATTGACGCATTGATGGTTGGTGAATTTGTTGCACTAAACCCCGATTTCTGCTCGGCGGAGCAGAGAAACGACAAGGCATCTATGTAAGTACAGTGCATTTAGTATTACAATGTAGTAATAAACACAAAACTGATACAACATATGAATAAGTGTAATAAAGTTGCGTAGGTTAATTTCTTTCGGCACTTTAATCCACAACTTTCCTGGAGTCTTCAAGGATGTGTTTTTATATTCTCGTACAATACAGTAATGATAATTACTTTATTTTTCGTGGTATTTATTAGAAATCATGTTTTTTTTATTATAAACTCAGTTAAAAGTAATTTTCTACGTGTTTACGAGTTTTTGTTTACCACAGTTCACGTCATAGCATAGACAATCTATAGACTAAAATGGCCGACAGCGTTTTTGTATGTCCATGAAATGTCTATTTTAAAATTAAAGATTTGTAGCTTTCTAGGTTTAAAAAAAATACAATACATTTTTTTTCGGTCTAATAGAACATTTATTAACCATTTAAAACCTTTTTCCAAAAAGGGTCAACTAGCCTATTATGTGAATTGCTCCTAGGTAAAAGCTAAAAGGATGTTTATTTATTTAACGGTAACGCTATAGGCACATGTTACATATATAAATTCAAATTTCGGTGGGACTTAAATTATTTGGCCGAAGTAAAAACTTAGAGGCCATAGATCCATCATGGAGAAAATAAAATATTTATTACACTTTTTTTCTAAGTGTAAAGTCAATGCTTACTCTTTCCGGTTATAATAAGGTACTCTGTGGCTTACTCTCTGTTTTGATGTCATAAAAAAATATTTAAAAAGCCCAAAAAAATCTTTTTACTCGCAAACAAAGCGGTATGGAGGAACTTATTCATTATCAAAATGAAAACAAACTAACTAAGCGAGATACATACTCAAAATCAAAACAGAAAAACTGCCAATCTCATCGAACTAACTGCGGAATATGTTGTAAGTTTTAAGCATTCAAATACGCTAATACAGGATTATTTTACGCCTGAAGTTTGAGAACAGTGAACATTCCTATTGAATCTAACTACTATACTTCACAGTTAGCCAGAATGTTCTTTAATTTAATTCAAATAATAACGGCTCCTTTTGTTAAAAGCTATATGTCGCGGCACGAAACTAGCGCTGGCCGTTATTGCGCAGAACAGAAGTAAAAATTAAGATGTGTTGGGGGGAAACGAGGTGCGCGGGTGGATGTGCGTAGCGCTGATCTGATTGGCTCTCCAGTCGTACCCATGCGCAGCTATCCTTTCCGCGTTTTGTTCAGCGCTAGAGTTACGTGCCGCGACTTGAACAAATGGTTGCCTCTGTTTTAAGTCCGTATTATCACACTTAAAACTCATCGCTACGTCAGCATAGTATCACCTATCACCAGCCTTCAACCGTACACAAGTATGTAACGTCCATTAAACTACATTTAAAAAAAAATACGGTACAGCGGATTTTCCGCTACAATCGGAACACCTGTCTGGGGAAGCAACCTCCACCTTACAGAAGACCACAGTAAAATAGCACCACCAGTAGGGTTACAGGGCTCCACGGGGTAGGGGATTGGGTTCAGGCCGGCAAGGTAAGGATGGCTGGAGTGGAACAGTTTCTTGCCGCATCAGTTTTTTCACGCCCGATCAACTATGCTTGATGTACAAAACGCAAGTGCGGTCCTGCGTAGAACATTGCTCGCACCTCTGGGATGGCTCTGATAAGTACTTACTCGATGCCTTGGATAGGTTGCAGCGGCGCGCTGCCCGCATCATTGGCGATGAAGAGGTAACCAAGAAACTCTACAATTACGCCGCGATGTGACATCAGTAAGCTCATTCTACCGACTATACCACGGCGAGTGTTCTGAGGAGTTATTCTCCCTTATCCCTCCATCACCTTTTCTTCAGAGGACCACGCGCGCTGGCCTACGTTGCCACCGACTTACTGTGGCCACTATTCCTACACGAACAAGTAATTTGGTGACTAATTTCTTTGTCGTACTATTCGTAAGTGGAATGATCTATTGTCTCCTTCCTATAATTTGGGGTCCTTTAAGAGAGGCGTGAAGAAGCATTTTTGCAGGCCAGCAAGGTGAGGTGATTGGTGTAGCAGTTTATAACTGCTGTATCAGCTATCTTCGCGTTTGGACTTTATTACCACTTAACATCAGGTGGGGTAGAGTCATTTGCCTAACTCTATATAAAATAAATCATCTATCTTGGCGTCTGGACTCCACCTACACTAAATATCGTAGGGGACTAACGGAGCGCTTACGGAAGACAAAAAGACCCATTGACGTTTCGAGCCCATACAGCACCAGTGTGCAATCGTTACCCTAGCAAGCCCTAGCGCTCGTCCCCTACTAAGCGGGCAGTTAAGATGAAAACGCACGCCATGCACCATTGATTAATTCTGTACCAACCGCCACTTGGTGAACAACTATCCACTAACTCTGAATCGATTTTTAGAAGAGATGTAAGCAACTTAGAAAAAATTAGAGATGGGCCGATTAGCCGCCGACTAGTCGGGAAAGACGATTAATCGGCATCGTTTATAGTCGGCGATTAGTCGGCGACTATTCGGCATAGCATGCCGATTATAATCGCACATACGAGTATCAATGAAATAAAACTGAAAAATTATACTTGTTTTAAATATTTAAACAGAAGCTAGAATATGTATTTAAAGTTACCTACAGTCTTAAAGTATTAAAAAAATAAGGTAACATAATAAGAATTAGGAACTTAGGAATCTGTCAGTAATTCAGATGACTTAACACAATAAATATCGCACATAACAAAAGACCAATGGGAAAAAAGTATATATTAATTGAGTAAAATCTTAAGTGTTAGCGAGTCTTAAAGAAATCCAAAGGTATTTTTTTTCCTTAGAAGCAAAATGTGGTATTGCATCGTGTATATTTCGGCTTGATTTGGGAGACTCATGTCGTGCGTGAGCAAGCCGAGTAGTGACGAAATATTCCGAACACTTTCCTATGATAGGTATTAGAATAATCGGCATTGCAGAATAGTCGGCCGACTAATCGGTAATTCGAAAACCGATTAGTCGGTTAGTCGGTAAATACTAAAGTCGGCCCATCTCTAAAAAAAATGTTTCATTGACCCCGGTAGCCCCGACCCACCACAGTACTACAGATTGAGTATCATCTACCCCGGCGCGTTTTTTAACGGGGTGGTTAGCACAGATTGAGAAGAAATGTACCTCACTATCATGGATGTTAGAGAGAAGGAGAACGATCGCTGTAGAAAATAGTGTCCCAGAATTTTGGACAAAATAAGTAAGGCGCTGCCGTTAAGTTGTCTCAATAAAAGCGGGCTAATTTGAAATGAACAAGGCCGTGAAGAAAATTTGTACATTATTCAACGATCTTCATCTACTTGTACTCATAAACAGCTTACTTCATAGATACTACTTTCCGACGGTAGCGCGGCTGGTGGCTGAAAAATGAACTATAAATTCTAAAAAATTTCATGGACAGGCGGGCTAATGATTTAGCACGTAGCGATTGTTCGTCTTCTCTCTAACCTCCATCTCACGATTGTAAAAATATTTATGATGCAAATAAATTATTATTATTAATACACGCCATTTAAAAGGGGGAAATTTATAATAAAACGGGGAAATTCTGGTACTTGGCAGTCTGAGTAACGAATTGACCATATACATATAAATGAAATGAATTATTCGATACCAGTTGCTTAATTGTTTCAGGTGTATGCCGCAATCTCCTTACACGCTCTCGGATATATTATGGGTGTGTCTTTTGTTCAAATTGCTTTGAGAAATACATAACTACCAAGTCGAAACAGGATTGCTCGGGAGATAAAAACACAGAGAAGAATCTATAATCCAGAATTCCTTGCCTGCGAAAAAAATTGTAAAGCAAAAGTAATATTATAATGAAATCATGTTTGACAAGTATGATCAATACTTAATCGATTATCTCAGTATTGTAACATTTTAGAGGGAGGGACTGTAGTATAGTGGGTAACTATGTTATTATTTATATAAAATACGAGGGTACGCCTCGAACATGTGTGTGTATTGTCTTTACGTCCAGTAGTCGAAATATAGTCACGAAATCAAACGGTCGTATTATTTTCCACCTAAATCTCAAGATATATTACCCACACTTCTTCGCCCGGCTTAAACAAACGGTCTCCACCTTTATTTACATGTGTATGAGAAGTAGGACTCTGTTTCATTTTATTATCCCTATTCGGCCGTAATAGATCTAGTTTAGTACGTAAACTCCTACCTAACATCAGTGCCGCTGGACTTTCTTTTGTTGTACAATGTTCCGTGT